CCCTGCCCTAGGTCATATGCGAAGAAAGCGACCTTTTCAATATCAATCGTCTCCACCGCTAGAGGCCGCTACCCTCCCGATCAGTGCAGAGGGACAAAGTCCCAATGCGAATTTATGAGGGAGCTGACGACATCCACTGCACTAAGGCAAGGACGAAATGGGCCAGCTCCGAGAAGACGAGGTTGCTCGTCGACCCCACGGATATTTTGTTCTTCTTGGCGAACTTCTTAATTTATAGCAAACTATTTTACTTTTCTTTTTTGCATTGTGCATGAGAGGGAAAAAAGTCACATCGTTTCTACTTTCAAGTAATTTTAACAAAGAGCCTTAACCACATTACACGTTTTATTATTGCTTTCAACAAATATGCCAAATTTCAAACCTTGCCAATATATAAATTTATATATATCTTCGGAAATTTTAAATAAAAAGCTGTAATTTTTTCAGGTATGCTTAGAAATACATCTACTTTAAAATGATGGTAAAACTTTTATAGGCTATAATTAAAAAAAATTTTCGAAAAATTTATAAAAAGTATTTAAAAATACACATTTTTAAAATAAATCATGAAAAAAATGGTGAAATTGTATTTGGAATAAATCTAAATTTCGAACTATGAAAGAAGGAATCAAGTAAGTAAACTGAATGAAAGAAAGAATCAAGTAATTAATTGTAATAAAAAAGAGAGATATTAATAACAACATATCAAATTCAATTAACATTGAGGAGCTAAAATTTCGAGAGTCAATTCTTTAAATTTGTAGGATTCTCCACTGTGTATTTCTAAGTTACAGTTGAAAATGAAGAAACTTAAGAAACTAGTAGGCGAATAATCGCTTAAGTTTGTGAGATAGAAAACAAGCAATAAGTAACAACTAGAGATAGAAAATACAAGTAAGAAGGGTGAAATAACCCTTTATTATTCCAACTAAAGTTTAACAAAACTCTCTTGGAGTTGTACAATAAAGCCGACACTCGGGCTTGAACTTAAGAGACTAAGAATTAAACTAAACTAATCTTAACTAATGAGATATAGACGAAGCTATCAAAATTCTAACAGAGTTGGCCGCTTAACATTAATTGACTGCGAAGTTATCAAGAGCCTAAAGTACGGCCGAGCGTAATAATAGCTTACGAGAGAGTAGCCTAAAAATGTGGACTCGTACAGCCAGAATATCTGGTATCTCTCCCTCTAAGACTTTACAACATCGCGGTTAAATAGTGCTCTTCCTCATTAGCATTCAGACGGGATTCTAAAACTACGTTCTTGCCGGAAGTGGTAAGTTGAAATTAAGAATCGATAGGAAATGAAGTTTAACTAAAATTTTAACTGTTAAAAAATTAACGTAATCCTTAAAAACTACTCGTGCCATTTTTACAAAACTCGGCAGTATGGCATAATTTCAGTCTTATATTCGAAATATTCAAAAAAAAAAAAAAAAAAAAAAAAAAAAAAAAAAAAAAAAAAACTCTCATGTCACTTCAGAAGAGCGAAAATATTTATATTAGAGCAATGCTATTTATAAATATAACACATATCCTAATATATACGCCTAATAGATACATCCTATATACGCTTTCAAGATATTAAAAGCGCAATTTGAATTTCATCAATCGGTACAGTAGAATGGAGATTCCCCCCTTTTTTTTTTGGTTTTGCGCAGTGTACCTCGAATAAATATGTCCGTATTAGAATAGTTATAACTATCCAATTCCGCAAAATATCATCAATGTCATCAAGTATCAGAAAGACTAATTTATCATTCATGCATACTCTTCTTGAATTAAATACTGTTTTTGTTTTGCCATTTAGGCAATACATCACTGAACCGTAAAAATTATCTGTCTTAATCATAGGAAATATATTTAAGAGAAATAAATAAAACCTCTGGAAAGATAGAATATCTACCAAACTATATCTGAGGGGAGGGAGGAACTCAGAAGCATCCATAACGTGTGCATTACTGACCCAGCTAAAGAGCCTACACCCATGAATCTCCATCTCATTCCGAAACAAAATACTAAAAATAAAAAACATGCTTCACTTTCCATAAATTTTACCATAACAGATATGCAGCTACATCTAATAGCAATAAAAAATACTAATTCAATGTTCTATCTAAGAGTTATATGTGGTACGCATGGCCACTGAGTGAATTAAACGGCAAGTCATGTATGATACACCTGGCCGTGAGATAACGTTTACTGCGATGCACATAGACACGCTCGTACGGAAGGGGTTAAGAATATATAAAAACATGTAATCAAAATTCTTTTTTGAAAACACTAATATTAAAAATAATAAAGTCCTAGTTAAAAAGCTTAAATGTTTAAACAAATTTTAATTTAACCATTAGACTGCTTACTTTTTTCTTTTCAATTCATACAGTTTTTCTTTATATTATTGCAATATCCTTTAGTACTTGAGTGAATTGAGAAATGTATGCATAGAAAAGATTTAATTATATATTATATGTCTGCAGGTTTAACCTATATAGAATATGTATACCTATTCAAGCCATCTGAGTTGACTGCATATATATATATATATATATTTGCATAATTCTGTAGCACTATAACAAATTACTATAGTTCGACTGTCTCAAATGCAATCATGAGTCTATGTTTTAGCATTGTGCCAAAACATAGACTCGTCCAAAAGGGGTGTTATTACTTGCTGCGACGTGAAGAGCCATGTGAAAGTCTTCTCTTCACCGGAAAGAGAGAATTTATATGCTCGAAGAAAAGAAAATCCCCATCCTTCCACACTATTTTGAGAATAATTTGGTCTGAATGGCGCTAATGCATGAGCGAATGGCGCTTATGGTTAAATTTTGTGTCAAAATACATATATTAAAAGAATGCTACATATAAATCTAATACATATCTCAAATCATGCTTTCGAAACATGAAAAACGCAAGTTGAATTTCATCAACCAACCCGGTAGAAACAGTCCCATTTTTTTTTCTTTTCCACAGAGTACATTCATGTGCTTTTGTTTCAAGAAGAGTCGCTGAGTGAAATTGCCCACCAGCGGCCGAGCGGTAAAGTCGCTGAACACTGGTAGTCGGTCCGAGGTTCGAATCCCGCGAACGGGCTGGCTGCATGGGCGTTTTCGTGGTTTTCCCCATGTGTAACGTGTATACAAGCCAGTTTCCCTTAGAAAGTCCTCCACGAAGGCGTTCCGCCCCTTAGGCAGATAGCCCTAGTGTGCTTTGCAAAATTAAATACACCACCACCGCTGAGTGAAATTATAATCTTAAGTGGTTTTATAACATTTTATACATTTCAAGCTCGAAATTTAACTCTGCATATGTAATAATTTGCATTTTAAGAAAATATCTTACCTTCACTTTAGAGTTTACTCTGCCACTTCTGTTATTTTTACAAAATATGACGTTCATTACAATTGTATTAAAAATTTCAATGTTACCTATGCACATTTTAAATTATTTTGCATTATTTTTTAGTGTTGGTATTTTTAATCCTCGCTTTTTGGGGGGGGGAGGAACTTAGCCGTTGGCTTATTCTCTATTAAAACCAGCAAGTTTGAATCCTAATTTCTTCAAGTGTTGTTTTAATCAGTTTTTTTCCGGGTTTATCATTTTTACCACAAATTAATTTAGATCACTTAAGATTACATAGTTATTTTTATTTTTAAATAAATTTTGTGCTTATTTTTAAGATTTTTCTATTAATTACAAATTTAATTCTTAATATGAGCCGGAGCTTGTGATTTTGATACTGAAATGTACTAATTTTTCTTCATGAAGTCATGTAAGAAAATATATGAATATTTTACTTTTTAATAGCCATAGCTAACATAAAAAGATTAAATCCTGAAATTTCTCAAAGTACATGAAACTAGCATTGTTTAGTGATGGACAGAACTGCAACAAACAGCCTCAATTTCACTACTTGGAGAAATGAAATATGAAGCTGTCAGGGTATATCTACTTTCGGTAAATCTTCGGATTATAGTAACTTGGCGATTTTTTGGCGACCAACCCTGCTAGAGCAACCTGCTTGTTTTTTTTTTTTTTTTTGGACGCCATTTTGTTTTCACGAATTAAAGGCATTTTTTTTTTTTAACTCAACATTTTTTTTTCAACAATTTGCTAGCCGAATTACGCTTATGCTAGAACTTTTATGGAACAAAAGTGTTTAATCATGACGAAGATTAGGTGCGAAATTGGAAGAAAGTGCAGAATCGTCCACTGCTTGCCGTTTTTTTTTAAGAATTGCACATACACGGTATCATCCATGTATACGTCGACCTATTTTCACTTAAAAAAATCACAAAAATGGCATTGCGCACACTCTTGACTTTATCCATGTACACTGCTAAAGTCCTAGCTAGTAAGTTTTATCGCTTTACCAAAATGTCGCCAAACTACCTGTTACCATATTCCAAAGATTAGCTCTACTTTCATTTTAAGATAACTAAGAGGAAAAACCAAGGAATTTCACATACTGAAATCACATTTCTGGATGTAAATAATGAAATATCTACTAAACCGATTTGCATAAAAGCTATAAAAAATTTTTGGAGTAAGAGAAAATCTGAAGTATGTAAGTCAAAAATTGGGAGTTGTCATGTTTGCACTAGTAAATAATTTTACAAATAAAAATAGTCTTTCACGTGATTATTCAAAGAAAAATTTTTGGTGATTAGTTGTAAGATAAGGACACATTTCGATTGCATTAAATACATCCAGAGGGTGAGTTTAAGTCTTTTTTTTTTTTTTTTTTTTTTTTTTTGTGAAAAGAAATTGTCTTTGAAACTAATAAAATAGGAATGAATGTGTACCAGCATTAGCCTATTATTTCTGTTTGAAATATTGCTTAATTCCTTTATCTGATGAGCTTCTAGTTGGAATACATTTTAAGAATATAAGTATTAATGATTAATTCAAAGATCATTATAAAAATGTGATTAATAGAGGATAGAAGATATAATAATTAGCTAATAAATATATAAACATTAAAAAATTTTCTAACAAATTTATTCATAGCACATTTTTTTTTTTTTTTTTTTTTTTTTTACAATCAAATAAATCTTAACTAAAAGCAGTAAAAATGTCGCCTATTTACATAGTGTACAATAAATACAAATTTGCCATGAAGTACACTTGAAATTATTTCCCTATTCTTTGAACAAGCCAGTCTCGTTGGCACATGGGACATGTATTACTTTTTTTCACCCAGAGAGACATACAGCAATTATGAAAGGAGTGGTTACATTCACCCCACACAACTGTAAAAGGAAAAAAAAGATATGACAAAGTAAGACATAATAAATGCACGAGTAACAACTAAATAAAAGATTTTGCTCTGATTTATTAATATATTTAATTTTTATGTCTGGTTGAACGAGATCTGCTTGATTTCGCCACAGCTGTCCAGTTTGAGGAGAAGAAAAATTTAGGTACTTTTCTGTTTCGCCGGCGCAAATCTCGCCAAGCAGACTTTATTGGCGTCAACATACAGTATACACATAAAAAATATTTAAAAAAATGTTAGTTTTAAGAATTCTTTTTTAAAGGCATAAACATTTTAATATCGCTTAAAATTTTTATAAAAACCGATAAATAAAGACAATAAATTTGTAAAAAGACATTAATTTAAGAATTTACTCCGCTTTCATGGTTCATATCACGTGACCCGAAGCGATCTCTTCTCACGTAAACTACTCTCTACAAAAATCTAATGCTCTCAGTAATTATCTACATTAATTTCAAGTTAAATCTTAATTTGGAACACAAGTTTAAATGCAAGAAATATTTCAATTCGTACGAATAGCTTACTCAGAAATTATGTAAAACTGCAGTACTTTACTTCGCTAATGCATTCTCATTAGAATTGATGAATTTAACTCTTGACTTTACCTTTTCTATATTTTCGGCTTCGGGTAAGCGCTGTGATTGCATCCTAATTGACTTAATTACCGAAAATGACCTTGGACATAAAACTGAACTGTCTGATAAAAATTCTATGTAATTATATGTCAGTATTGAAAGAAACAATCAATCTGATAAGAAAAAGCTGCGACTTGTTTTGAAAATGAGGCGTAAAAGGTTACCAGCGAGAATATTCCGTTTGGCATCGGTTGCACCATTATTAGCGACTTTATCGCTTGCGCCGGTAAAACGGAAAAGTACCAAAATTTATACATGATGTCAACTCTGGTGCTGGGCTTGTGAAGAAAGTAATACGTAAAAAAGGGCTTCTTAAACTTTTTTCATTCGCGACTCCTTTTTATCACTGAGATTTTTTCGCAACCCCAAGACCCCTAATATTTTTAAAAAATTTGTGGGAACCCATAAGTATTGCGGAAATGTGGCACACACTTGAGTGAAACTGTCATATCTTTCACTTGTGCTGTAATATACTATTGCATTTTTAGGTCTTTAATTTGTAATTTTAAGACATAGAACGATGTGAAAATTGTAAATAAGGAACAGACGAAATGACAGCGTCATGTACAAAGCAAGTAAAATAAAGGTTAATAAAAAGAATGCATCGAAAGGTTTTCATTTTTTTGTCTCTATTGTCTTATCTTTATCTATTTTCAGATATATTGTGTAAAAATCTTTGGTAATTGTAAAATTATCATAATAAGTTAAAGAAATATCAAAACTGCTAAACTTTTGGACGACCCCCAGCTGCAGATATCGCTACCCCCATGGGGGTCGAGATGCACAGTTTAAGAAACACTGATTAAAGCATGTAATTAAATAGCATTACAAAACGTCATTTCTAAGTATGAAAAATAATATATCAGATTATCTTTTGAACACACTATTATTTAAAATCTTAAATCAGACTGAATTTTGTTTAGTTTATATTGGAATTCCTTAGGTTATTAGGAGTTCTTTGAAGCTCAGGTTTTCCTGTTCTAAGTAATGCTTGACTTCTTTAGTGAATGAATGTTTTAATTTTCAAACCAGTAATTAAAACGGGCTATCACAGCACGGCTGACACATTGCATACCGTATATTGTTGAAATTCTTACGTTAGACAAAATAAATGCAGACATTTAAGAAATTGCATTGTGCAAGCCCTTGTTCGGCAACAGGTTTACTTTACTGTGATATCTAACGTTTATATGCCTTCCTGATCCCCATATTTGTTAAAAAAACAATAATAATGAAATGAAAAATAAATAAATAAAAAAATCTGAAAACTTTTCAGATTTTACATTACGCTCAAAGGCGCATTTTTGAACGTTTTGTAAGCATCCTTTATTTATTAACCCGGAAGGCGCAGCAAGAAAAGTTACTAGAACGGGCGCGTGAGGTATCACATACCCCAATATTTAAAATACAATAAAAATAGTATTATTTAGTTTTAAAACTTTTTTTTTTATTTGTTCTTGTGTATTATAAATAAGTGAATAATAATTGGGTTTCAAAAATAAATTTCAAAATAATCTTAGAGTTAAAATTAAGATAAATGAAAATAATAAACATCATGCCTCTAAGTTTCATTGCATCTCTAATACACCATGCTTTTTTTATTTCTTCCCACTTTGAACGAAATACATTCATGTGTTCTTGGCACAGAATGTTTTCACATTTTAAACATTGCATTCACGTTCTTCTGTCCTTGGCGCGAGGGCAAAAAATTTAACACATCTTTCATACTTAGTGTTTTCTAATTTCATGTATTCGTTTTAATTCTTCATCGAAACTTCTGCTTTTGTTTTGCACGCAGTACGTTAATTTCTTGGAAAAGTATTAATCTCTGATCTTTGTTCAATACTTTTTTTTCATTAATTGTAATGCTAAGTCCTTCAAAAACAGACTTATGTTTCTTGTTGGTGGATTAGCAGTTCAATGTAATATAAAGCATTTATTACAGCAACATTCAGTGCAGGAAAGAAAATTACCATTGGCCACCTTCTCGTTATTCTGGCAACTGAATAATTGACTGACATTTCATCCCCCATACCCACTGCTCCTTTAGTCATATTATTATACATATAAATCCTAACGTTTTATTTTCTCCAATAGTATCATCTATAGTATGATCGTTATATACAATGTTTATATGTTATAATGATCGTTATATAAGCATAAGAACAGTTTTTCCTTTTTAGGAACATCAGGAATTAATATTTTATCTTTTTCGAAACCAAAACATTGTAGAAAATATTCTTAGTTTCATCTTCAGTTTCCGAAATGCAATCTTCATCGCTTTCAAATATTTAATAAATCTCGCATGCGTTGCATCTCCAGTTAATAGGGACTACTTCTTTTTACCATAATGCAGTTAGAAATTTTAAGAATTTAATGTCATGTACTTTAAAATCACTTGCGAGTAGAAATATTTACTGTTACACTCTAGACATAAGTTTCTGAACTAAATATTCAGTCAGAAAAACACTTACACGGACAGGCACGTGGGGTGTGTCATACCCCAGTTCCAACAAAATACCTATAAATATTTTTCTGAAACACACAGGCAAAGAAAAAGCGGTTCTGAAAGTCAACCACAACTAGAAACTCAGCTACTGAAAGCAGCACAGAATTTCAGTTTCACAAGTTAGGAATATTCCACTTTTATGTAGGGTTGGGGTATGATACACCCCACGCGCCTTCCCGCGGGTTAAGCATCATGTTCTTCGCACTTAACCATAAGATTCAATTCATCAGCAAAATCGCAACATAATTTTTAATTGAACATACCTTTAAAATTTCCGATACATAGTCTGATGGGCTAGAGATAAAAATGTTTCTTTTTCCCCCGTACAGTGTTGCCATTGCTCGCTTTGAAATTGTTGAGTTTATTGATTAAAAATTCATTAAAATTTTACAAAATATGAAATAGATAATAAAAGAAATTCCAAATTTGGGCTTCTAAATGCCCATATTCGGGTGGAAAAGTACGTTATTCAAAATTTGATGGCTCTAGGTACCGTTGTACCTAGGTATTTGATAGCTTTAGCTTAAAGTGACCACACGTCCTGATTTTGGCAGAACAGTCCGTCTTTTTTGATAGAGTGTTCCGCGTCCCGCCGGTTTTTAAAAATGTCCCGCTTTTTAGTATCTGCATTTCTTATTTTAAATGTACTGTAAAAATATATTACCTATTATTTTATTAATTATTTTAGTAAATATAAAGAAATTAAAAATACATAAATAAAAGAAGCACATGAAATGCTTGCCGAGTAAACTAAATTAGGCGATGTAACAAGTTAGATTTACTCGGTGGTGTTCGATCATTGTCGTTGCGTTTCGACAAGGAATATGTATTATTGACGGAGGAACAGCTAGCATTAGCTGAAGGGCTATTTGCTTTCCACGCCATAAACCACAATCAAAGCTTCAGATCAATTGATTGTACGTCGCAAATGATCAAAACATTGTACGACAAAAAATTTGCATGTGTTAGGGAAAAAAACCGAAGCAATTATTTGTAATGTGTTTTCAACATATTCGTTTTCACAACTGCAGAAAGAATTAGATTTAATGTACATTTATATCCATATATTATGATGCTTCCAACCTGAAAGATTTAAAATTACTTCCCACAATTGTTAGGCTTTTTGATCCAGAATCAGGAATTAAAGTTAAATTTTGTTTTCTGCCTGGTGAAACTTCATAAATAATTTTTGATTCAATAAGTACTATTTTAAAAAAGAATAATTTGAACAATAATATTATTGTCTATTGTGAGTATAACACTAACGCAAATTTTTGTGGAAAAGCTAGAAGAGGCGTCAATAACATTTTAACCAAAAAATTATTGGAGTAGGTTTGTGCAGCGCACATTATACACAGTACTATTCAAACGGCATCTGACTTACTTCCAGTGGATATTGAAATTATTATTGCAAACATTTATTCGTATAATATATATTATATACGAATATATATATATATATATACTGTGTGCGTGTTAAAAGTTTGAAGGATTTTGTGAAAGCGCAGAAATCGAATATTAAAAAGGAGATTTTATGGGAATATTTAGAAAACTCTTTTTAATATATTAGTAACCATTTTCCGGAAAATAATATTTGCGAAAATGATGTTTTTGATGAGATGCCATTTAATACTGTTCCTTACGAAAATATTTTTAAAACTGTAGAACACGTGCTCTCCCTTCCAGGAACAAACGCAGTAACAGAACGTGTTTTTTCTGGTATCAATAACATTTGGACAATTGAAAAAACGCAGTTGAACATTAAAACTTTAAAATCTGTATTAAGGGTAAATATAATTTGACCAATTCATGTGAGAAATTTCACGACATTTTAACGAAATGATCCGAATTTATCGCAAAGTATTCACTTGGATAAAAAAATATGACCGTGAAAGAAAATCATAATTTTTTAAGTAAAATTTTAAATGAATTAAAAAACATAATACTCAATATATAGTTTTTTACCAATAGCTAGTAATAAATATATTTTTGTATATTTACAGACAAGTTTTGGTCTGCTTTCATAACTAAATTCTTATTTCATTTCATTTGTCCCGCTTTGTCTCAATGAAAATATGGTCACTTTACTCTAGGTAAGTAATTTAAGGGGACTCATACACCTTAAAACCCCTCATGATCTTCGAATATGTGAGAGTTGCAAGAATTGGGATATTTTATTTATTTTAAAAAGCAATTACTTCCAACTTTTTACAGCTGACTACATAATATAGCTGCTTTGGAAACTAGTAACCAGAAAGTTTGTGTTCCCACAAATATTTTTGTAATTTAATCCTCTTTGTGACAAAATATTTCGCCATGCTTCCACCTTGCGCGCATGATATTTTAAAAATGGTTAATGGTACGTACTTGAAATTTTATGGAATGCTTTATATGGGCACTATTTTCTAACTGAACCAACAATCTGATGAATGTTTTAATATTGAAAAATTTTATGGACGAAAACATTAAAATTTTTTTAAATAAAATACATTTTATAAACTCAACTCAACATGAAATAAAAATTTAACATGAAATTTTTAGAATTTTAGGTTCACAGTAGTTTCCAAATGTTATAAAAGCTATATATTAAATATGGAATTAAATTATGAAACAGAATGTTTTAAACTGTGCGCGCAAGTTGGAAACATGACGAAAAATGTTGTCACAAAGCGGATTAAATTCTAAAAATATTTGTGGCAACACAAACGTTCTGATTACTATTTCAGAAAGCAACTATATTATGTAGTCAGCTGTAAAAAGTTGGTAGTAATTGCTTTTCAAATAAATAAGTTATCCCAGTTCTTGTAACAGTCACCTATTCGAACATCTTATGAATTTTAAGGTGTATGAGTCCCCTTAATAATGTATACATTTATATAAAATCTATTGTTAATCCAAGGTTATAAAAATTTAATTATTTAATCCATGATCACCGTGCGAATTTTGCCTTATATTCTGTGATAAAATTACTAATTTAAATTTTAGTTTTCTGGAACGTATTTCATTAAACTTGCTTCACTTATATAAAGCATGTAGCACATGGCAAAAATTATGCAATATTAATGGAACACGGTAAATGTTTACAATTGGGAGCCTCTTGTTTTTTGGCGATTCTTTTTTGAAGAGGTATTCACCAGGAATACACACACATCAATCTGTTTTCACTTAAAAAAACATCCCAGAATTGCACAAACTAGGCATTGCGCACTGCTTTAAATTTGTCCATGTACACATCAATCAACTTTTATTTTTAAAATATCAGGAAGATAAAACAAAGTTAAACTATCATGGTAACCAGAAATAAGATTTCATCGTCGAAATTTTACAAAAAATTGTGGCTAATCGAAGCTGCACCCCATTCTACACTAGAGTAATGGGTTTAATCCTAGTATCCGGTGCACACAGGATTTGGCGACTTTATAATGAGCAGTAAAAGGGGACATTTACGATGAGTAGTTAACGACAGTAAAAGCGGGACATTTACGATGAGTATTCAAAGAAAATGTACAGTTAAACATAGTATATACTATCTATATAGTATATATACTATGTGTGTATATACATATACTGTGTGTGTGTATATACATATACTATGTGTGTATAGTATACATATAGACGTTCTTTGAATCATTTTTGGTGTTGGCGATAATTTTCAAAGTCGCGCCAAGGCTGCACCGTATACTAGGATTTTACCGAGCAATGGAATACTAGCATAGTTGCACACTCACGCATAAAATAGAATCCCTACTAACCAACCAATATTAGCAAATTAAGGTAATGTCATGTTGGTATTTAGAAAGTATATGTATGTAACAGTGTTGGATTGCATGTCAGCAAATATGTATTAACAGAAGCATGTAAATAACTACTAATGTATATCTGCCCTTGTTTAGCCATGTACAATGCTATTCTTGAAGATTCAAAATCACTGGACCCGGGCACTTTGGACTGGTGTCTACCCGATGGCATTTGGTTCGCGGAACTGCCAACCGGATGGTCCAGGCGTTGGGTTTCGGCGCCTTGTGCAAGCCTCCCATGTGGCCTCTCTGGCTTTACTCTGTATAAGGGCGGACGTGGCCCTATATGCTAATTAACTTAATAGTAAAGGGGTGGTGGCCACGTCCTCCGTCACTATCACTAACCAACCAATATTAATATCTAACATTCGTATATAAAACATGGAACATATTACAATGAACCAAACAAACAGAATTTGGTATTCTTCTGTTATCGGGACCGGATTGTGCAATTGTATGTGTGTACGTACGTACGTATACGTGTGTGTGCATATTCAGAAATGTATGTCTGATTCCGGTGCATAATCAGAAATGTGTGTCTGATTCAGGTCTCGATAACAGAAGAGTACTAAAAATTTTACATTAATATAGCTATTTTACTGGTCATTATTTTCAGAAAAATCACTAATAATTCTTCTTTAAAAGTAAATATGAAAATTTAACTTACCAACGCAGTCATCTTGCTTATTTTCGGCCTGGCACCTCAAACAAGCATCTGAAACATATTTTGCATTTAATGATACAACAGATTTTTTTTAAAAAAAGGATACCTATATAATAAATTGCAAAATAAAAGAAAATTTTAAAGCAACACGTGTTGAAAAGTGAGGAACATCGCTCGGCTGTTCTGCAATTATGTTGCTTTAAGGTTTCAAATCGAAAGACTAGTTAATTAAATTCATATAAAATAGCCTTACTCATAACCTGTACTCGACAAATGGCACAGGTATCGCATTCCACATCCCAACTCCACATTGCTACAGCGTTCCAATTCTTTAATGTAAACAACACAGGTTTCTGGCTGTTAGTATGAAATTTACGATCTACACATTCCTCATCATCTGCCATATGAACATCTTCGGTGTCTCGATTCATTTTAACGAAACTGTAATTGAAAATATGTAACAGAAATCAGACTTGACGTAAATCGTCACAGTAACTACACCACACCAAAGATTCAACTCCAGGTCAACGAGTTTAGTTCTTTTTACTTCAATTCCAGGTCAACGAGTTTAGTTGTTTCCTACTTCTCAGAACTGATTTTAATTTTATTGAAGGAAATGTTGGGAGCGACTAAATTTCAACTCGGCAGCAAAATTTGACTGGTCGAAAATGTACGTCACGGCTGACGTCAAAAGTGACTTGTTCTCACCAAAGATTATTTATTATCAAGAAGGAAAACTTCTCCGCCAAGGAGGTTAGAATAGTACTACTCCGCAGGAGTGGCTCCTTCCCAACATAGAAGGAAACGGTTGCGCATGTGTGAAATATCTGCCGCTGAAGTTCGAAAGTCTCGTTTATCGAGAGTCTATAAGACGAATATCGTTTTAAATTTCTTTAAGCATTAAAAGAAAAAGAAATTTTTTTCGCGCAGGTGAATTAATTAATGGATTAGTTATTTTGAGCAAAAAAATAAGAAAACCCGAGTTTAAATTATCGCGGGTTTAATCCTAGTATCCGGTGCACACGGGATTTGGCTGCTTTTGGCGACTTTATGATGAGCAGTAAAAACGGGATAAACGATGAGTAGGTAAACGGGTCATTCAAAAATATATACAGTTATATATAGTCTATATATGTATTTGGCTCTAGTGTAGAATTGGGTGCCCCTTCGATTAGCGAACAATTTTTTGTAAAATTTTGGTGATGAAATCGTATTTCTGGTTACCATGATAGTGTAACTTTGCTTAGCATCCGATTTTTTTAAAATAAAAAGATTGATGTGTACATGGACAAATTTAAACAGTGCACAATGCCTAGTTTGTGCAATTCTGGATGTTTTTAGTGAAAACAGATCGATGTGTACATGGACACAGTTTATTATGCAATTCTTGAATTTTTATTTTGGTTTTGTGTAGCGGCCATCTTGAAATCGTGTCTTCCTGACGCCGATCTTGCCGTCAAAAAAGAATCTCCAAAAAACAAGGGGCACCCAATTGTAAACTTTTACCATGTATTTACACACATAGTGTATAGTATATTGACGTTCTTTGGATCATTTTTGGTTTTGGGGATAATTTTCAAAATCGCGCCGAGGCTGCACCGTATACTAGGATTTTACCTTATCGCGAAATGTCAAAGAAGTAACATGTTGTCAAAGTATGTTTCTTCTTCACACGTGTTTCTCAATTTCCTATACACATTACGGAAGGGGAAATTCTCACCGCCAGGTTCCGTCGCCGAATCCCTTGGCGAATTTTCCTTCCTCTCTTCAGCGGTGTAATAGCAAACTGGTTTACATTACGTCTATGGAAACTTTCCTTCTTTACATAAGTCGTTCTTTCTTTTAGCTTTACTTCAAAGGATTGCCTGCCGTTTTCGGCTGTTTGTCTGCTGAACTGTGCAGTGGTATTTTTTGGCAGGCTAAAAGTGTTTTTTGAAAAATATTTTAAATGGTGATTTAGGTATTGTTTGCTTGTAAATAAACACGCTATTACAAATAGTAAAGTATTTATTTTTAGACTAATTTTTTGTAATCTATTTATTTTTAATATATTGCCTTTTGAGAACAAATAAATTAAGCTGAAATTTTCTGTGTGAAAATGTTTCACGATAGCAAGCCTTTCGTTTCAGTGAAACATTAAATATTTTAACATCATTTGCTACCATTTTGTTTTTATTAATTTTTTAATATTTGTGATGACAAAATAATTTTTTTAGTCTCTATTGTACTGTGTAACGTTTTAGGACAGTTTACAATGGAATGTGAAGAAATCAAGTATTTGAATGTATGCACTGCTGCAAGAAGTACAAAAAGAAAAAGGCTTTATATGAGCACATTCGGAAAGTACATAAAGTACCTGTTGTGGCTGAAGGAAATTTGAAATGTCCCATTAATGTCTGCAATTTTTCATGCAGAACTTTTGAAGAATTAAGAAATCACATAAAAGATCAACATGGATACACTCTTAACTCCGTTGAAATGACATTTAATACACATGAAAGTAAGATATTAAAAATTACATTTACATTTTCTGCGATAAACATTTTTAATTTGAATAGCCCCAAAATGAATACAAATTACTATTTTTGCAAATTCTTTTATGAAGCTGGAGAATAAAACGGATCTATTTTATGAGTATAATTGATAGCAGAATAATTTTGTTAGCGTCTTGCTTTTAGCCTGTTAAACTACCATTATTCTTCAGTAAAAATATTTCAAAGTAATATTTCTCTTCCTCCTTTCAACAACTTGAAATATGAAGTAAACATTTTGTAAATAGTACAGTGATGTACTGATACATAATTAAAATTATTTATGCTTGTAATTCAGTGCTTTATTAAAAGAATTACACTATTCTTTTATTACACAAACGGATCTCTTAATGCATATGTATGATTAAGATATCAAAAGTTGTCGAAATCTTCATTAAAGAACTGGCAACCTTCAATCGTAAATTTAGCATCATAATGATAGGAACATATTTTACAATATGTCAATGAGGCTTAAAATGTATTATATGTTATTTTAAAACTACTTAAATAAAATAAAGAAATTTAATTAATGTCTGAAAATTTTAATGAGCTGAACACATTGTAAAAACTATCAGAAAATATGCTACAATGTTTTTTTTTTTTTTTAACATTAGATATAGGCCAGATACATTCAGGGTACGGAAAATTTCTGATTAAAATTTGTCTCTGTGAATAAATTTCTTACAATATTATACAACTTCGGGGAATATGTTTTTAAGTTTAGCTGAAACATTAGCATTAGTAACTATCAAATAGAAAGAAAAATATGCCAATGTATAACTTAAAATTAGGCAGCTTTTTTTCGGTGTACATTTTAAATAAAACTGTCAGTTTTAAGAGCAAGTAGACACAGGTCCCTCTTCTTCAAGAGGAAAAAATTCTGCTAAAGGGTTCTGCTACTTAAAATCAGTGCCAAAATAAGGTTGTTGTATATAAAATAATCTCTAAGTATTTTATAAATTAAAATACACTAAAATGAATTAAAACAGTATATAAAATAAAATGCTCTCAATCTTGCCACTACTTCATCATTACAAGTTACGCAATTATTTTATTAACCAGTTTTTGATCTGCATATTCTATCGCAATATATTTCACTACTAATTTATTAGTGGGGAGTAATGATACTCAGTGTAAAGTTCTCCAGTTAATGGTACATATACAGTACAGTTAGTAACATCATTTTACATAACATCAAATATAATGTGTTTATTAAGGACATATCACACAATATGTGCAAAAGAACTAAAAGCTTCAGCATGAAATATGCAGTCAAATATATGCCTGATTGAAAACATAGTAACTATTAACATAGTAAATTATTAAAATCTAGGTGCATGAAAATAGTAACTGTATGTAATGGTAACTGTAAATGGTAACTGTATCACAAATGTATACATGGTAAACCTGGAAGATGAGTTGAAGTTTCAATGGTATTATATGCAAATTACACCTAAAACTATTTTTCTGAGCCAGCGGATGTTGATATTTGCCTTCAAATTCAGTGTAGTTTTATTTAACAATTCTTAGTCTTAACCGTATGCTGTATGGCGGCAATGATAAGACATATCACGTTGCCAACATTTCCTCGGCTTCAATCATGGACCTTATAAGAGATAGACTAACCCAGTGGGCGGGGCGCGCGTCACTGACATGTCGCCAAGAAAGAGTAGGGAAGATCTGGTTTACTTTAACACTGAAACCTATGGCGTTTGTATCACATAACGCATTTTAGTTATTAAATGTGATACGTTATATAATGATCAGATTATGAAAGCCACAGTTTTTTTTCCAAATAGGATTTAATATGTCTCATTAAAGCACTTTTTACTGCATTTCGCGCATTTTTTTCACGCGTAATTCTTGTACAAACATCTTTACTTTGGTAAAACGGTAAAAACTCTAAGCACAAAATTTATGAACTTAATTTTGTGTACAAATAACGTAAAATTAAATAAGATTGATAGTGCGTGATGCTTTGAAATAAATAAGGTAAAATTAAACAAGATCTGATAATTTTTTTAAAATTTAATGACCATTTTCAGACAGTGATTTTCAAAACTATAATAACATTACAAAGCAATCATTTATTTGATTACATCATCATTAACTTATTAACATTAAAGTGGAATATTTATTTTAGTAATTTATAAAATTCGGAGCATAAATTCTGAGTGTAATGAAGGGGAAAAAAAGGGTAAAATAAAATCTAGAAGCACTCAGATTTTATATTACGCCCAAAAGGAACCTTTTTTTAACGTTTTGTGTGCTACCTATATTTGTTGAATATCATGTTCTTCTCCCGTTAACCCCATACATTTGAAAACAGCATATCTGTAGAATTTCCGCCCTGGAGATAAAACTGTTATTTTCCGTACAGTGCTCTCTCTGAACTCGTTGAGTTTGTTAATCAAAAATTCGTTACAAAATTTACAAAATAAAAAATAGATTAAAACAAATTCGAAATTCAGCCGTCCAGATGCCCATGTTCGGATTGAGGATTACATTATTCAAAATTTGATGGCTCTAGATACTGCCGTTTTTGTCACATTGCGAGAAACATACATGTATTCATGCAGATTCTTCATTATTTAATTTCTTTAAATATAATACAGGGCGATAATATTTGGTAACAACAATTTGCAAGGAGACACATACATTTATAGTAAAACAGCGCAGAATGCCGCTTCGAAACTATCAGCCTTTCTAGGCTCCCGCCCCTTTGGGCTAATAAATTAAATTAACAATAAATAAAAAATAAATTTTAAAAAATAATCACTATAAAATACAAGCAAAATTAATTATTACGGTTAAATACAATTTTAACATTAGAATTAAATGTATAAAAATTTTTAAGGAGTCAAAAGTGTGTATCACTATGATGTATTATGAAATATAATTGAAATAAAATTCCTTTATAGAAATTGTGCTATAATACTCATCTATAATTTTAAAAAAGCAGCACATTTTAGAATTTTAAACAAAACTTTCAAAAATTCGTTTTTAAATAT